CGGACCACAAAATACTGCGACTAAATATTATTAATCAAATTAGAAACTTCCCTCCTATATTCTGCATATTTCCGCATCTCAACTCGTTCTTTCTTCACCGTTGACAGGTCAAGGTAACTTTGTCAATGTGGTATGGCGCTCGCTTAGTGATTGGGGCCTGGGTCTGATTCTCGCGATGATTCATTTATTAGTCGTTAACGTAGAGAAGGTCCATAGCATAGATAAAATCGAGGTCCCTTTTTACAGAAGAAAAAAGCCAAACAGAGGTAATCAAAATAATTGATATTCTTTGATCTGCACTTGCTTCTGTAATTGTAAAGTTAATTTTCAATTTATTCCAAGTATGCAGTATGAACAACATTGGGATAAATTGTGGGTTGGATTGATTGATTGTTAAACGTCCCTTTCGAGAATTTTTCACTCACATGGACACGCCACCGGTGGAGAGTTACAAGTTTTGTTCTATATTCGGCACTCAGGGCCATTGAGCAGTGAAGGATCTATTTCGTGTCAGCATCTACTGAGACACGGGACCTCGGTTTATACGGTCTCTCCCGATGTACTGGTGTCCACGTCCCCCATTAGGGGATTAGAACCAGCAGCTCAAGGATCAACTCCTTACTTCGCGTCTCTAGAGCAGATGCTCTAACCACTGCGCAACGCTGGCGACTTTGTGAGTTGGATGTTAGTATCCAGTTCATATATAATTGTGCTTAGACACAGATTTTAACTTAATATTTTCTAAAAATCTTATGTATAATATTATCACCGTGTGAAATGCACACCATCTACTGCCCTATCATGCCGCTTATAGACTTTAATCTGAACAATTAAATTGACATTATGTTTATTTAATTAATCCGTTAATTGATATCTATTTGTATTTTTCACTCTTCCATTAATTTTATCGTTAAAATATTCTTTGGTATCTTTATATCATTACCATTTTAGAATATTGGCAGTTGGAGAGCAACAGCGTAGCCGCTCGGTGCACCGAGTTACGTTTTAGGAGTTTTAAGTTGATATTAATATCACGAGTTGTATATTGCAGTGCATTTCACACAAAAATATAAATATATGGTTTGATCTGTACAATATTTGAACTACGAATTCAAAGGCGCGTTTAATTAACACCACCTTGGACTTTCACGAATTTTAACTTTATCCTTGATATTTAAGAAAAGTTCTTGGCAACTTGGTTGTTTATTAATGTAAAATATATCATCTATTATCAAGAAAATTCAGTAAAACACACTCATTAGCATCGTCTGTCCGTGCTCAGTGTTTCACAAATTGAATATACCCGAGAAACGTAGTGTTTTTGTAAACAGGGCAAGCTCACAGGGCACGAGCTCTATTATTGTTAGTGTTTACGATTCACCGAATGTGTTCAATTGTTAAATTCTGCACAAACCACTGAACACGGACTGAAATTCTATGAATGGGTTTTGCTGTCGAATATTTCTATCTGAATTCAAGATTTTTTAAATATTTTTCATTAATACACAATAATATTGCCACTTTTCATAAGTATTAATTAAAAATGAAATTAAAATCTGTGGACGTGCAAGGGTCTATCGATCAAACGCGTCCAGAAATTCGAAGCTTCAATAACTTCGAGATAAAATAACTTATAATGAATTTATATAGCAACAAATAAGTCATGAATTAATTATACAGAAAATATTAACTTTAAATCTGTGTCCAAAGACCTTTTAGTTTCAGTGATTTACATTAACTACAAACATATCGATTTTTAACAGGACGAATACTACCTGTAATCATGTTCCATAATGATCAAGAAATTAATCTCTTTTTATATGTTCAACAAAACTCTTAATCGTTACTTGTGGTGATATGTAAATATAAAGTTCGAAACTTTTGCTCAATCGGACTAATAAGCCGTCGGACTTGTGAACCTTCGGACTACTAGGCGGTCGGCTTAGTGCATGGGAGTCGGAAGCAAATTGAAAGGGGGGGGGGGCTAATCGAAATTGAAGAGTTTGACACTACCTACTACATGAAACACACAAGACAAAGATCGGGAAAAAAGCTTGCGTTGGTCATATAGTTTCGTTAATTTGTCATCTTCGTCTTATGTATATAGTTATTGTCACAAAGTACATCAAAATACGAAAAAACTGAGCCGATGTGTGAATGATATGATCATGTTAGTTGCTAAAAATAATTGTTGCATTAAAGGCCACAGGAAATTTTTTCCTTTCATATAGATTTCTTTTTTTATATTAACGTAAAAAAAGTCAACAAATAAAAGTATAATTAGCACCAATTGAAACAGGCAGTTACAATACCTGGTTTCAGAGCAAAATAACTTATTAATAAGAATTCCACATGATTCTATTAATATCAATGTCAGACTATGGTGTGTAGAATCAAAATAGTTTTACGAAAAAGAACCATTAATTTGGTCGAGGATGGGTGAACAATCTCAAGATATTTATACCCCCACTCCGAAGGAGAAGGGTGTTTACTGTTTTACCCTTGTGAGTCTGTCTGTCTGTCCGTCCATGTGTCTGTCCGTAACAAATTTTCGTCGCAGTTTTCTCAGCAACTATTCATCGCAGATGCTTGAAATTTTAGCACATGCTTTGCAGAGGCATGCCATATGTTAGGATTCATTTTTGTTCAAAATCCGATGTCAACTTCATATTTATCCGTGCGTCTGTTCGTAACACATGTAACAAATTTATGTCACTGTTTTCTCAGAAACAGCTCATTGCAGATGCTTGAAATTTTAGTACATTCTTTGCTGAGGCATGTCATATTGGGATTCTTTTTTCTTCAAATGGGATGTTGACTTCCTCTACTTAACTTGCGTATATCAACATGATAGTGTATATTCACATCAGAGCGGGGGTATTACTAGTGAGCATTTGCTCACATACTTCTTGTTAAAAACTGAAATGATGGTGATTTTGAATTTATAAATCTTTCGAAACACTCTTTCAGTTTATTGAAAATGAAAACAAGCAAATTCAAAGAATTGTGGTCCCCCGCTTTCGGTGTCTTTGTGGGTGAGATGTCAAATATGAATGCCCTATCATATGTCATTTCGAAATTATCACCAAAGTTAATTTTAAAAAAAAAATAAGGTCAATCGTGAAGGCCAACGTTAAGGAGTCAGAAATCATAGTATGCTCGGAAATATCTTGTCATAGGTAATGTACATGTCAAATATGAAAGCCCTATCTCTTCTCAATCAAAAGTTAAAAGGAATAAGATGCGTTTGTGAAACACTGATGACCCCTTATGGCAACAAGGCGAAGATTAAACTTTTCTTAAATGCAAATTAAATACATTGGTACCCAGATTTTAAAAAGTAGGTCAAACTCCAAGATCAAGGTTAAAGGATCAAAGTTCGTGGTAACCAATGAAAGGTCTTCTCACAAGCATATTCTTATGTGAAGTATGAAAGTCCAAGTCCTTACCATTCAAACGTTATGGCTAAGGTTAAAGTTTTTAAAAAGTAGGTCAAACTCCAAGGTCAAAGTCAAAGGGCCAAAGTTGATTATATTCAATGCAAGGTCTTGTCACAAGGAATAAATATGTGAAGTTTGCATGCCCTAGGCCTTAAAAAGTTATTTTTTTAAAAAGTAGGTCAAACTCGAGGGTCAATGTCAAAAGGTCAAAATCTTGTTATCAAATGAAAGGTCTTGTCAAAAGGAATAAATATGTGAAGTATGAAAGCACCAGCCCCTACCGTTCAAGGTTAAAGTTTTTAAAAAGTGGGCCAAACTCCTAGGTCAGATAGTCAAAGTTCTTGTTATCCAATGAAGTGTCTTTTCACAAGGATTACATATGTGAAGTATGAAAGCCCTAGCCCTTACAGTTTAACAGTTATGGCCAAGGTTAAAGTTTTTACACAAGTACGGAAATCTTCAAGGGTCAAAAGGTCAAAGTTGTTGATATCCAATGAAAGGTCTTTCCACAAAAAATACATATGTGAAATATAAAAGTCCTACTATCTACCGTTCAAAAGTAATGGCTAAAGTAAAAGTTTAAAGTGGGTCAAACTCCAAGGTCAAGGTCAAGTTTGATGGTCCCTAAAGACAGGTCTTTTCACAAGGAATACAGATGTGAAATATGAAAGTCACAGCTCCACTAAATCAAAAGTTATGTGCAAGGTTAAAGTTTTTGTGACGGACGGACAGACTGACGAATGAGATTTAATGTCCCCTCGCTTTCTCGAAAGCGGGAGACAACTATGAATAGTACTCATTTGGATTTGAGGTATTCGATGCATTATAAAGGGATATTGAACAATTTTAAATCATATATAAGTAGTAAAAAATATGCATTGCTAGATTCTGATATCAATGAAAATGAAATGAAACAAATTATCATGATTGATAGCACCTAATCATGAAGAAATAATTGTCCATGATGAATAGAAGAAAATAATAATTTTGTCTAATAAAGTGGTTACTGATTCGATTCATTTCGTATTTTAACAAAGAGAGGGCGTATGCGTATTTTTACTTTGATATTTGTGTGAATGTTTGCAGTTCATATTACTTTTTTACAAAAATATACTATACCTTGAATTTTTGGCATGATTGTTTAGCTTTAAGGCTTGATTTAATACAAGAAAATTTTGAGATCCCCCCTATATATGATTACTATTATATCCAGATTGTCCTCTTCATATTTGCTCAATGCTTGGCATAGTTCTCTACAGATATAATAGAATTTTCTTTTCATAAAAGGAATGGTTCTTTTTCCTAGTCATTCTTGCTGAAACAGCCGATCCTTATATCCACTTTAATACGAACAGTTTACAGATACATTGTAGCTGGATTGTCTAATATTTATATCATATTCCTTGCTACAATTTTAAAATAGAAATTCATTTCTTAATATTTTATTGCATAAGTATACAGTATGCAATAGACAAAAGGCCCACTTATGTTTAAAAGAAAATAATGATTTACACTACATAGGAGAAAGTATTTTCCTGCCTCTTTCTGCATAGTAATGTCTTAGCTAGAATAACACTTGGACAGTTTTGACAGAAGTCTAAGAATTGGTCCTTTGTGTTTCTTTTTCTTTGATTCTATTTCGTTATTTCTATATTCAATATCAGAATACAATTCATCCTCGACAGCTATTCCTTGTAGGATGGTTATGATAAATGCATCAAGGTCATTCTCTTGCACAAGTGAAGTTTCCGAGTATTTACATTTGTGTTCTCGTGCTAGGAGTTTTCCATCTGTAAAGGAAAAAGAAAAACGGTTATGGCCAATAGACATCAAATACATGTAATATATGACATGAGTACAGGCAAGAAATAAATTAATACATGAAATTCCAAGATAACATCTGTATGATTTGAAATTTTCACTCACCTTCCTTTGTTAGAGACTGGTTCCTTACAAGGTCCATCTTATTGGCGACAAGGAATATCGGCGAGGTAATCTTATATTTGTATCGCATTTGACGAACTATTTGAGCAACAACAGACAAGGAACGTCTGTCTTCCAGTGAGTAGACAAGGAGAAAGGCATCTGAATCCCGATGTGGTATCTCCCTCTGAAGACAAAAATGTATCATTACAATCAATTTATAAATTTTTGTTCCTGTATACGTGGTGTGGAAAATGAGAAATAAGAATTAGATTGCTTAGTAGATTAAATAACTTACCTGCAAACGAATGTCTGTTTCATGAAAAGTTACTTCTATTGGCTGTCCATCTAGCAAAGCAATCTTTTTTCGAGGGCTTGTATGACCTTAAATGAATAAAAAAAACATGAAAGTCATCAGTCGATGTAAATGTTTTCTTATTCATGTTAGTCAAAAACTTTCATTTTCAGTTGTCTTTTTCAAAATACGAATTACTCATTTACCTGCAAGTCTTTGTATAAGAGATGTCTTTCCAACCCTAGGTGATCCAATAACATTTATCTTGACGCTGATATTTTGACAAGAGGTTTCTTGTTGGACGTTTTGCTGCCCTTCATGCTTAATGTAGCCATTCAAATTCTTTCTCACCAAATTGGAAAACTGGAGAGGATTTTTGCCGTTGAATTCTCTGCAACACGCTTCAAATTGCCCAACCCGATTAACAGCATCGCCGTTTCGATGGTAAGCCGTTGGTAGTTGACAATCTTTTAAAGATTGGGGCCTGCGATAGTTTAGGTCCTGTCCAGAACTATGATAAGTTTGGAACTTTTTATGAGCCACAGCATTTGTTGTTGATTTCTTGTTTACAAGCTTGAGAACTCTTCTTGGCGGAGTTGTATTAAACATTGCGCGAGGCTAATTTTGAAGAAAACAGTGGTGAAGGTGAAGAAAAGAGTTTCCTTTTATATGTTTATCATCGAACACATTAGCCACAAGTTTGATTCCATTGGATGATTTTCAATTACATTTTTAAAAGATCTTTTCATCGACAGTTGATATTTCCCTGCCATCCGCCTACCTATAATTAGCTTCACAATTAAATTACGATAATATACTTTTGCTGTAATTTACCAAGCACTTATTTTACAATTTACGAAGAATATATCTATTTATTGACGGAAAAAGTTATATATAATTGTTTATTAGCGCTTTGAAATCAATTGTTATAATGCAATCTGTGACAATTCTAAATGAAGCTCATGTTTTCCGAATTAGTTTTCTCTATCCTATCATCTTTAGAAAATAATTGTAAATCGTTTTGATATGTAGGAAACAAAATATTGGACTACTTATTCATGGGAACAGGTTTGTCAATGAAAAAAATTGACTACACATTTTAGTGTCAAGGGGACTTGTGACTGAAACCGGATTGATTAATTGTATGTTGTGTAACGTCCCTCTTGAGAATTTTTCACTCATATGGAGACGCCACCATTTGCCGGTGTTTGTCCTATACTCGGCACTCAGATCTTTTCGTACCAGCACCTACTGCGACACGTCACCTCGGTTCATACGGCCTCATCCGAAGGACCGGAAATCGGACACACACAACTATCCAAGTGAATTACATGTCCCCGTTTCAGAAGAGTTTTACCTGTTTATCAAAACTGCATGCTTTCCTCCACGGTCCAAAACTTAACGACTACATTGAAGCCACATTGCGTTTGACACATGTGACTAATTAAACAAAGTTTGAGCGTATCCTCATTATCAAAATTTTGATTTCTCAAATATTTTTAACTCACAGTTTTACTCCGTTATTATACCCTACCCTAGCCTGTAAATAAAAGACTTGAAATGGTGATCACTTATAATTGATTGTTAGCAAAGATACAAAACACTGACGGATTTTTAATTTCGAAAGACCAAGGCCAATGACAACCTTTTGTCTCATTTACTACTAGCCAATACATAGTGACTAACTTATGATCATTTTCAAAAAGCAGAGCAAAAAATCAATACAATAGTGATTTATCAAAACTTAAAAAAAAAAATAGGTCTAAGGGTCATATGTTTCGTGAAAATACATAAATGTGGGTCAGGCAGACAGGCACCAAAAAGTCGACCTCGATTTGTTTCATATCTTTATCAAAAGAAATACCAACAAGAGGCCCAGGGGCCACATCGTTCACCTGAGCAAATCGGCTAGGAAAAAACACAAATCAATCAGAACTGAAAAGTTTACTGAAGGGGGGGCTTGAATTTAATACTACTTAAGAATGCCTTCATATTAATACAGCATATGACTTTGCTGTTCTTGATAAAAGGATTTTTTAAAAACATTTTCTTCCTATACTATCACTAATCATTACTTTGAAGTACTTGAGAAGACGATTTTCCTATAAATTCGTATGTAAAACTTTGATCAGCCATTGTGGCCCCACCCTAACCCGGGGATCATGATTTGTACAAACTTGAATTTACACTACGTGAGGATGCTTCCACATGAGTTTCATCTTTCCTGGCCAAGTGGTTCTGGAGAAGAAGATTTTGAAAGATTTTCCCTATATACTCCTATGTAAAACTTTGATCGGCCATTGTGACCCCACCTTACCCCCAGGGGGTCATGATTTGAACAAATATGAATCTACATTACCACAGGATGCTTCCACATAAGTTTCAGCTTTTCTGACCCAGTGACTCTTGAGAAGAAGATTTTTAAAGATTTTCCCTATATACTCCTATGTAAAACTTTGATCGGCCATTGTGGCCCCACATTATCCCAGGGGGTCATGATTTTAACAAACTTGAATCTACACTACCTGAGCATGCTTCCATATAAATATGATGAATTATGGCTTTGTCATTCTTGAGAAGAAGATTTTTAAAGAATTTTCCTATATATTTCTATGTAAAACTTTGGTCGGCCCTTTTGGCCCCGTACTACCCCCGGGGGTCATGATTTGAACAAACTTGAATCTACGCTACCTGAGCATGCTTCCATATAAATATGATGAATTATGGCTTTGTCATTCTTGAGAAGAAGATTTTTAAAGAATTTTCCTATATATTTCTATGTAAAACTTTGGTCGGCCATTTTGACCCCGTCCTACCCCCGGGGTTCATGATTTGAACAAACTTGAATCTACACTACCTGAGAATGTTTCTCCATAAATTTCATCTTTCCTGGTACAGTGGTTCTTGAGAAGAAGATTTTTAAAATATGCCACCAAATTTTCATTTATTCCCAATTATCTCCCCTTGAATGAGGGCGTGGCCCTTCATTTGAACAAACTTGAATCCCCTTTACCCAAGGATACTTTGTGGCAAGTTTGGTTGAAATTGGCCCAGCGGTTTTTGAGAAGACGTCGAAAATGTGAAAAGTTTACAGACAGACGGACGCCGGACAAAATGTGATCAGAAAAGCTAACTTGAGCTTTCAGCTCAGGTGAGCTAAAAATCAAATTACAGATTTAAGATTTTAGAAAATTCCAAATATGCGTGAATTGTAATCTCTGCTCCAGATTCGCGAAGTAAGGAAATGATCCTTACGTCGCGGGTTCGAAGCACCTGCGGGACGTGGAGAGCGCGACCGGTCTTTCGGATTAGAATCTATCCCAGTCGGTGTTGGCACAAAAAGTTTCCTCAGCTAAACTGCTTAATGGTCGAAAATGCCGATTTAAGGTCTAAATTTGAAAAACTCCATCATTAAGCGGTGGCGTCTCCATTCTCCAGAGGAACGTCAAGAACAAACGACATTAATTTTTGAAAAGTTGGTCAATCAACTTGAAGCTCGAAGTTGAACTAGAAGTTTCCAACATCAAGAAACATATCAAATTAAGCTACTTCAGAAAATTTAAGTCTTCTTTCTTTTCACATGTGGCCTAAATACGTAATACGATATCTGTCGTTGATTCTTGTGAACATTCTCGACGACCTGGGCATAATCCTCAATTGACACTCGGAGGCGAAGGCAGCTAAGGGGATGTCATCTGTTTTCAGTCGTGAACTTTCACATTATGTACGATACCTTGACCTAATAGCTGTGTCTTGCTTGTCGGTTTCTAAGGCAGGAAGAAGAGGCAGATGGCTATTAAACCGACTTTCGCGTATACTGGACAGTTGTCGACGATCTTGGCGACTTTTCTCGTGAAAGCGTCTGTCTAGTTTTCTTCACTAGGCTGTAGAAATCTTTAATTAGATTTTAAGTTTGCTGTCTAAGGGGTATAATTTTCTTTCTGTAAACATCGCGATTTCTTTTTTGATAAAGAGAAACACCCGTCACAGTAGAGCAACCATAACAGATTGGCGCTCTACACTGTTCCTGCTACCATGATCGACTCTCCGAGATTTGAAATGAAGAGGGCGAAAAACAGTAGTTTCATGATGATTAAAGACGTCAATGTAACTGTATCCCCCCTAAGATGGTCTACAGAGGGATAACCACTCTTGCAATGATGTTTTACCCTCATTTCTGACATTTAATTCGTCACACACACCCTCAAACACAGTCGTTCTGTGCATTTTGTTGTTAGCCACTATATATAACTTCAATGCAGATATTGTCTTCCTTCGGTACATATTGTCTTAGGCGACAGCTTTTTTTCTCTTTTGCATAGTGGAAGACAAAATTAACAGTCAAGCATCGGTACATTTTGTATTCGGCGACAATATCATGCACTTTCAACAATTGCATATTTTTTGCGAATAAATTGTGTTGGAAGAAAATTATTAGGGCAGTGGATCATAGAGAGAAAATCGTAGGGTGTTAGGAACACACGATTAGTGATATTTTGAGATGACAGTTTAAAAACGTGTGGAAAAAATCGAGAAACAGCGCACTTTTAATTTTTGTGCGCAATAAATATAGTTTTTTTAATGGGTGGCACTGTAGCTCTACAGTCTATCAAAATATTTTTTTCAGAGAGCTACAGAGTTCTAAGCCAATACAAATTCAACCTTATATATACATGTATATGCCTACGAAAGAGTTGAGACTGAAAATTTCTCAGTTCAAGAAAAATTACTCTCAAAAATCAGACATATTCGAATTTGTACTCGACCTGTACTTTCTGGTAAAATACCTGCGTATACAATTACACTTATACATACATGCCTAAGAAAGTTAAAGAGCGGAGACTGAAAATTTCTCAAGTTCAGGAGAAACTACTCTCTCAACTAGAGATGTGTGTAAAACACTTATGCTAACCTCCCCCAGATAATTGGATTTTTTTTTCTAAGT